GCCAATAAAAACAACATTCGGTTTAACGCTTTTTGTAGTAGGCTTTATATTATATTTTTCAATCTACATTTATAAGCAACATTAATAGTATGAAATCGTGCCTGCTGTGCCGGATTTACTTGCCACCCTTGTAGTCACGGATATGGTAGAGCACCCAACCGGGAATGAACAAGGAAGCGACGCACATACCACCACCGAGAATTACTTTCTCCTGTAATTGATTAAAATTTTTGCATATTATATTAATTGTAGGACTCCAAAATACTCTCGAATAGGTTTACGTAACCCATCGAAGAATTCAGAATTACTCACCGCTGTGGAGACATGATTTGTTGGTGGTCCGGAGACGACGGATTGGCAGCGCCTTTGCATTGCTCCACGAATGGCGGGCACCAAAAGTTTAGCAGCACTATTTTGGAACATTTTTGATGTGAAAATTCTCTTTTTGCTTCGAAGACGATGCTGGTAATAAGTGCTCGATAGAGATGATAATACTACATCGATAGCAAGTTTACGGACGAGGTTTGTAAAAATCGATACCTCCAAGAGTGCCCATACTCAACCATAAAGACAAGAAAATACTAAGCCTCATTTTATAAACTATACTAAATTTATATGACTTAATGTTTTAATTGGCAAAAGTAAAAAAAAAATGTTTAAAGTTCTCTTTGAGACGGCTTAGCAATTTATTAATTTTTAATTAACTCAATATTACAAATCATGTTAGAAATACTTAATATACATTTTCTGTCAAAATATAACGGTTAAAATAAAGATTATTGAATAGAAAGTGGCACTGTTTAGATATATTGGGATAATAATTGATATTTTCATTCACTATTAAATATAAATGTATGTATACTGTTTGTATTGGTTTGTTGTGAATTTTTTATATTGATTGTTTGTTTACATAGCTTTCGAGCTTCATTGTAAATATGTTTAATCGCATTGTTTTAAACAGATGAGATAATTTCCTAATTGTTCAGATGAGAGAGTTTAAATAATTGATATTTTAAACTCATCCATATAAATAACAGTAGGTTCATATATATTCATTTTGATGCAACAGAATTAGTTGACTTAAATATTCAAATTACTGCAACCATAACGTTTAGTCTTTGAATATAATTCAATATTATTTGATTACAATCTACTCTTTCACACCAATACAATTGGACATAAGTTTGAAGCTGCATTCACTTTATAGTTTATCAATTTATATTCTCACTTAACAATTAGTTAAATAGTTAAGGCCAAATACTTTAGAGCCAGTTATTTGTTACAAATTTTTTTAATAATACACATATGCTTATTCAGATCTACATACATCGACTTTTCTTTATAAGGCTAAGCGCTCAAATTTCCAATTTATGGTGTCTGGTGAGTTAGGTGTCATATATATATATAGATAAATGATTTGTATATATCCATATTTTTTTTTATTTGAATCTCTGTTTAACTTAATTGAAAAAAAAAAACTGTATTGAGTTCTTCTTGTATGAAGCTAATGTTATTCGGAATGATAAATAATAGTAAAGAATATTTTTTTTTATTAATTTTAGCTTTGGAATATGTCAACATAATAATTTGTTGTGTGGTTAATTTATTTAAATTTGTTTTTTTTTTTTTTATGAAATTCGTTTTTTGTTTTATGTATATAACAGCTGATAACATAACATAAAATATCTTAAGTATATATGTGGGTTTTTTCTTTTTGCAAAGATCATTATAATCGAATAAATAAAAATAGAATATAGAATATGTTGAGATTACAAAGAATGTTTTCTGCATTATTCGAATTATATATAATAGAATAAATCTAATTAGGTAATAAGTAGTTTTCGTAACAATACAAACAATCGGTAGACAAAAACAATATTACATTTTCATTTCTTTTCTATTTTGTTTTCCATATTTTTAAATACATGTTTTTATGTGCATGAGCATCTGAATATATTCCTGTGTGCGCGCATCTATCTTATTTTTAAGTAATCTTTAAAGGACAGTAAGTGGAAAACATCATAAAAAACTCGCTTATTTTTTATGTTTACAATTCAGTCTGAAAGGCATAGTTGTGTATACACATTATTATATCACCTATTTTGAATAATTAACTGTTTTATGTATCCTGCTATTTATTTTATTTTTAAAATATTTTTCTTTTTGTTTTTCTGCGTTTTTTTTTTTTTTTTTTTATAGTGATTTACAATATTAATTGCTTGAATTTAGTTTTAACCGCATATTTTGGTTTTGTTTTTCATCTTTTCACAATTTTGTTGTTCTTTGCGTTTTTTTTCTGTTGATTTCGTTGCATTAAGTTGGGCAAAAAAATATATATATTTATTCCGTATGTAAACAAAAATTTGGTACTTAAATGATCTCTTACTTCTAATTACACATTCGATTTTTTCATGCAGTAATATTTTTATATATAGATATATACATATATATATTTATATACATATATATATATAGATATATATCTATATCAGCATTATATGGTTATGTTACTTTTGCTTCTCTTGTTATCTAACTTTTAGTTATGCATATGTTACTTGTAGTTGCTCCGCTATATTATTATGTATTGTTCCTCACGAGAGAAAAGCTTATTCTTATTCTTCATCCGAGAAATCAGAACTTTCGCTAATATCACTTGAAAGATGTTCCAGCCAATGGTAATCGCGCCGATCGACATATTCCCAGAGATAAATCTACGAGAAACGGAAATTAGGAACAAATATATGCATGTATTTGTATTGTATAACAGGAACGATAAACAAAATTAAAGAAACAAAGCAAACATGTATACTTATGATGCCTATTATATATTGTATAACTGTAAGTATTAGTTTGCTATACTTACATCGAGTAAATCCATTAGTTGACTTTGGCTATGCAATTTTCGAGCTCGCTTTGGCAAACCAACGTCCACAATGTCACCGTTGGCAAGAGCGTGCTTATAGAAACACTTGTTGCCAAACGGACATTTGCCTTCGCCTTTTTTGAAATACTTGCAATCCTTGGCACCGAGAGCCGCGCGATAATCATTAAGCAGCTTGTCCTTTTCCTCTTTAGTTTCAACCCAATAAGCGCTAGGACAAACAAAGTCAGAACAGACACGACATTCGGGGCAAGCTCTGAAATTTAGAGTGTAATATGAGTATGTTTTAAATAAAAATAATTCGCTAGCATTCACTATGATCAAACAGCAAATCCTACCGCGTAATTTTGTGCTCAAACTGTTTAGCTTGTCGCCATGTACGGATGCACTCCAAACAAAAGATATGATTACAGTTGGGCAGAATTCCAAAACGTTTCTCTCGACCAGCCTTTTCCATTATAGTATCGAAGCAGATGCCGCAGGTTTTATCCTTTGACTGGGCAATCGCAAATGATAATTCCATTGCCTGTTCGTGCTGCTGCAAACATTCACGTTTATGTTTCTTGCGTTGAGCTTGGTCCGTGGGATGCAGGCAATATTGGTCGCACATCTCGCATAGTTCCATATGTATGCGATAGGGACAATACTCGCCATAGGGGCATGGGCTCTCGTATGGACAAACCTCCTCCAAAGAGCTCGGCTCACCATGCTTAAAGACAATGTCCATGTTATTCGTTGAAGGACCACCAACAATCTCCGCATATGAGATTCCACTTTGCACAACGGCACTGCTAGTAACCGAAGCAGCAGCTTCGTCTTCAAGATGATTGTCCTTTATGCATTGGGCTATGAAGCTTTTCTGGCCGGGTACAAAGATCGGCGCATTTGCCCAATTGCGTCGACTGGTGCTAGGGAATACATCAGCATCAGCATCCACATCCGCTTCGGCATCGGTGCTTGAATTTGTGTTGCGGGCACGCTGCTCACCTTCGGGTTGGCCTAGCGTTAAATCATGAGAGAAGCGACAAAGGTCACCGAATCGACAAATGCCTCGTAAATAATATCGGCATATCGTTTGGCTTCGTCCAGGCAAATTGTTTAAAACAGGAGCATCTGCGACGCTGGCGGAACTCATTTTGCACTTGCAAAAGTTTGTACAGATGATCTGACCAAACTAGACGTTCTGACCTGAAACACTCACAAATTTGATTATATCCTCGATAAACTCGACCTATCGATATACATGCGTACATGTGTGTTCAAGTGTCTACATATGTATGTATATATAGAGCAAACATAATTAAGATGTCGCAATAACTCCTCTTTTTACGTTTTACAAAACTTGATTTTTAATATATATATATATATATATATATATATATATATATATATATATATATAT